GCAGGTCTGGTTAGCTTATGTTATTTAGTTTTTTCTCCGTTTTATTCCTAAGTTGTTTGTCACAACCATGAGTTCAGCAGTCTGACAGCTGCAGTAAACACTGTTTCTCAGCCTGGTGGTCTTGTTCTGGATGCTCCTCAGCCTCCTGCCTGAGGGAAGGAGGTGAAACAGTCTGTGTGCAGGATGAGTGGAGTACTTTATGATGTGGAGCACCCTTCTCCTGCATTGTGATGTGCAGGAGAAGGGTTCATGGTGGAGGGAAGACTATTTCCCACAGTCCTCCATGCAGCCTTAACCAGCCTCTGCAGAGCCACCCTCTCAGTAGCAGTGCAGCTGCCATGCCACAGAGTGATGCAGGTGCAGAGATCGCTCTCCACCACACAGCGATAGAAACTCCTCAGGACTGAGCTCCCAAGTCCAGCTCTCTGCAGCTTCCTAGGAAGTAGAGATGCTGGTGGGCTTTACTGACCAGACAGGAAGTGTTGGCACTCCAGGTGAGGTCACTGGATATACACACACCCAGGTTCCTGTAGCTTGAGATTACCTCCACAGCTGATTCTCCGATGTTTAGGGGAGGAAGAAGATCCTTGTTCCTTCTAAAATTCACCACCATCGCGTTGGTCTTCTTCCCTTTGATGTCTTACCTGCCTGACCCACGATTTCATCAAACATCACTGGTTGTTAGAACCTGGGCATCCAGGTGCTGCTTCTGGATGTACATTTGTCAACAGTAACACAGCACCAGCAGGCCTTCTGGGAGCCGTTTTATTGGGTTGATCTGATGAACTTCAGTGCTACTCAGTCCTATTCATGCTGCCAATACACATCAGATGATTCGCTGCACCACAGTGTTTCCAGTGCATGCTTGTCTTAAAGCAATATGAAATTAAGTGCAACATTCATTTGAACCACCATTAAATTTTTGTCTTCTACACCAAATTACTTTTTTATCGGATAGTGATTCATGCACACACCATGTTTTGCAGAGAATGTGTGTCTCATTGAATGCTATCTTAAGCATTGAGTACTGGATTGAGTAATTTACTGTAAGTTTAACAACAAGTCTATGAAAGATTGTAAGCATTCATATATATTGCCATAATGTTTTTGAGATTGGTTTTGGAGGTTGGTGACTAGATAAGCTCTCAGTTTTTGCCCTTGGGTAAATCTGAGCTGTTTTATGAGGACATATTTTAAGGAAGAGTTATCTATGTTATTATCTTTTTCTATCAAGAGGATAACACCACATGAAAACTGGAACTAGGATTTATAAAGAGAAACAGTAACTAAAGTCTACAACACCATGCAATACATTACAAACTTAAAGTACAATAAAACTGCAAAGTTTCAAAACAGTCAGGAATGTAGAGGCCTTGTCAAAAATCCATATGAATTCAAATTACTATTCCTAGATACAATTCCATAGATTCATTTATAATCTAATAAATCCAAACTAAAGATGATAAATTTTGTAGCTCAGGTGGTTTATGCCTTGATGTGATTAATGAAGTTTTCATGTATTTCCAATGTTTTGTAAAGTGCCATGATTTGATTTATATGCCCTGATGCTCACAGTAAACACTGAAAATTGAGATGGAGGTCAGCTGTGAAAAAAAAAAAACACAGAATAAGACAGATACCTGTGCAGCACAGCTGTACTTACCATTCCATTTACCAAGTATGATCATTCTTATTTTGAAAAGACCATTCTAACTTATATCTTTGTGGAAGATAAAAAGTGCATGTAAGATGTTTTCAGCCTCAATCAGGCGGTCGGAGTTTCTCTGTAAGCCATTTTTCAAGTATTATTTTGAGTTTACTTTAACCAGGACATATTTGTCTTAAAATGTCACATTATACTGCTAAAGTAATATTTCTCTGTACATGTTTTTGGTATTAAAATGGAGCTTGTTGTGGCACAGGGTTTAGCATGTTGGCTGCTGGTCCTTGACACAGTCTCTAGGGATCAACTCACGACCGCTGGACCTTTGCTAAATGACTTCCTCACTTCTCTCTGGCCATTTCCGGTTTGACCACTGTGAATAAAGATCACTATTGCTACAAAAGAATCCATCCGTCTGTTCGTCTGCCTATCCATCCATACTTATTCCTTCATGACTATTCAGTGGCTTCATGACTATTCCAACCATTCTGGACAAGAGGCAAGGTACAACCAGGTCAGCAGTCCATCACATGGCTACACAGAGACACTGAGGAGAAACAACCATGTAAACGCACACTGGAGCAATTGAGAGCAAGCAGTTAACTTGCATCACTTAACTGTCATATTTTTGGACAGTGGAAGATCAAAATTCAGTTATTGTTTTAAGAATCAAAAACAATAATTTCACAAGACATTACCCAAAATATTCTCATATGACCTAGTCTACATCTGCAATAATTCCAGAATGTTAATTGTTAAAATGACACAGAGCTAAATGTTCTGGGATTTAGTGCTGACTGGTCTCCACATTTCTTTAAAGGTGTAGTCAACTAAGAGTCCAGCTGGAAAAACTGTAAGCTGTAGCCTATAGTAGTTTATTTGCACTGAATGTGAATAAATTTAAACCTGGTCTGATTTAGACTGACTTTAAACTAATTAGATATTCTTGGCTCATGGCTGCACAGTGACAGTTGGTAGCACCGTTGCCTTGCAGCAAGAAGGTCCTGGGTTGTATTCCCGGCCCGGGGTCTTTCTGTATGGAGTTGGCATGTTCTCCCTGTTCATGTGTGGATTTTTTCCTCCCACAGTCCAAAAACATGACTGTCAGGTTAATTGGTCTGTCTAAATTCTCCCTAGTTGTGAGTGTGTGTGTGTGTGTGTGTGTGTGTGTGTGTGTGTGTGTGTGTGTGTGTGTGTGTGTGTGTGTGTGGTTGTTTGTCCTGTCTGTTTCTGTGTTGCCCTGTGACAGACTTGTAACCTGTTCAGGGTGGACCCCGCCTCTCACCCAAAACGTTTGCTGGAGATAGGCAGCAGCACCTCCTGACCCCACTAAGGACAAGGGTGTACTGAGGGTAGATGGACTCTCGGCTCACAAAAAATACAACATCTTGCACTTTCCACCTCAAGTTTTACCTATAATACCATTTATGTAGAGTAATAGAATAGAATAGAAATAGCCTTTATTTTCTGCCAATAGAAAAATTTAGTCAATTGAAAGAAAATTTGAAGAACTTTCTTTCCAGTTGAATGAAGTAGTTCATTCAACTGGTAAACTAACAAACAACAGAGAATGGCATTAAACTGTTTATGTGAACACAGTGCACTATGAATTTGTATGCAGTCATTCAAATACAAATATGTGTCCTAAAAATGCTAATTTCTCGGATTAAAAGTCTCTTCAGAAAACAACAAATTTAAAGCAGGTATTAAACATAATTTCAGTGAAGTTGAATTTATGAGGTAAGAAAATATTTTTACTCTGGGATGATTTGACTGGCCATTCTAATGAGAAATTTATGCAGCAAAGCAATAAAAATGATTTTCTTTCCCTTTCACTCAGTTCTGAACAGTTGATGAATAATAGCATCAAAATCTTCCTTTAAATACACAAACAAATAAAAACCTTTTTCAACATTGCAGCTGGCACAGCTCACAGCAAAAGCATGAAGTACACACATCAGATGCACACAGTAGTGTGGCACCAGTAGCGATAATGCTGGATACCGTTTAATTACTGAGAAACAGAAAGGGAGCACTGATTAGTACAGCTAACAAATGTACACATTTTCTTCTTTCAAACAAGTTACATCGATAATCCACACAAAGGTTCCCAAGCTCAAACATGTTTTACTTTTTAAACACTGCAATGTTTGTAGTTCAGTAACTGTGCTACATAAAAATTGTGTTTTGATCACATGACCTGAAGAATGGAAAGTACAAAATGATGTCATCAGATTGTCTGTGAATCTTATTCATCTATAATTAGACCTGATGGATTTTGGCACTTCATAACTGGGTGGCCCAACAGTTTGAGAGCCTCTTGGTTTACAGTACTTATTAATGTTCAGTGACTCAGACTGGTCGAACTATTCCTGGTTCTGGTTTTTGCTAAGAATGGGGGGAAGTTTGGAATGGCAGTTAGAGGCAAACCTTACTGTAACCAATCCTAGAAGTTAGTTATCTCTTACTATGGGCATGGGTGGTTCTAGATAGGGGCCAACAGGGGCCAGTGACCCTGTAGAATTGGTTCTGGCCCCTGTACTGATCCCTTTACTGAGATACAATACTAGATCAATGTCTTATGATGATAAGTGTTACCGTAACCAGAATGTATTGGTCCCTTGGCCCAACTTTTCATATACCAGATCAGGGGTCTGCAACCTACAGCTCCAGAGCCAAAGGTGCCTCTTTGACTCACCAAAAGTATTAAACTATTAAATACTGCCCTGATTTTGTTTTTTGTTTTTTTGGCCCCACCATGGTTTCCCTGGTTAATTTAGTCTAGAATTGCCACTACTATATGTTTCAAAAATACTATGCCATATGAATAAGATTTGAAATACCTGCCTTCAATGGCTTTCAGTCAAGAGGCTCAGATAAACAAAAATCTGTACAACACAAATGTTCTCTGCTTAGGTAAAATATCTTCCGGCAGACTAAGAGGACTATGAACACATGTTGTAAAAGGATAAGAAGCAGAGAAAACACTGAGTGTTTGCAGAGAACTTTGACACACTGTCAGAAGTCCGACTGTAAACCAGTGTTGAAGGGTTGTTGCATTTTAAGAGACCGCTGGATTTTTCCAATCCTTGGAACATCTTTGGGAAGCAGCACTACTTGAGAACAGCAGTAGGACATTTTCTCTTTTTTCCATCCTTTAATAGATCCTCTATGCATGCATTTGGCTGGGGTCCATAGAAGCACCATTATTACATAGCACCATTTTTCATAGTTATCCTTTTACACTGGTACCCAACCACTAGCATGCATACACTCTAAAATCATGTTCTTAGATAACATTTCTAAATGTAGCATTGATTAAAATGTCACAAGGCAAGTAATGACTATTCATACAGTACTTTACATGTAAATTTGAACTGAATACAGTACACAGTAAAGAAAGTGCTAAAGTACAACATTTCCTTGTTTCAGAAGTCTTAGTTTACAGAACTACAGAACACACCAGTGTCTTACATTTATCTAAATGTATACCTTTTCATCTTTTCTTTATTTTTCTTAGTTGCTTTTTTAAAGGCCAAACATCAATATCTCTACATTTTCCAGTTTACAACCAAATGCATAATACAACAGGACAAGCAGAATGTCTTCTTCAGTACGCCTATGTTCACATCACTCTGCACAACCACACATGAACACAAACACTTTGTAAGGTTAACGTTTTCCTTTAAAAAAAATCTGCCGTTTCCTTCTAGATGTGACAAATGGCACATATTTTGATTATAGCTCCTTTTTTATTTTGCCTTTGGCTATTTTTAATATGTTTCAGTCTGCTAAAAATAAAAAGCACAAAAATGAAAATGAGCAGAGATGAATTCAAATGGACCTTTAAGGCATCCAAACTAGAAAACATCAGATCTGCAGTTCAGGATTCAGAATCCTGTAACCATCCACGTCATGTCCACTGAAAACAAGAACCAGACGGTTACAGGGACATTTTTAATCTTTAGATAGATTACAGAATTTGACTTCTGTTACTTATTTAGGAAGCTTATAAGGGAAAGTGCCTTTGATTAAAATATGAATAATAAATGTTAATAATAAGACTTTATAAAAATATAAAATTTTATCCATTGAGTTTAGAGACTGATAAGTAGGATGGATCACATACATGAGTCTTAGCAGCTTTGGCCAGAGTTGAACCTTTAGCTGTGATATCAGTGTTAGCCCTATACATGCACATGGTTTGGTTTAATAAACTTCTTCCAAATTTAGAATCTAAGTTTTTGTGTATTCTTGCCATTGTTAAAAACCAACAGATCTAAAGACAGGCTGACCAAGACCTGCTGTTTGAGCAAAAAATATTTCTAAAAAGTTAAAAATACCCTGTGGGGCTCTCTTTTAGGTAAGAAAAAAAATCATTTTACTGGATCAATCTACAATCTACAAATTGTTCAAAACTACAAACAATACCTTAATTTAAACTAATCAGCCATAACATTATGACCAATTGTCTAACATTGGCATCTGATCTTTTGGACTCAGTCTCAGTCTCTTGTCTTCAGTGAATCTGTGGTAAATATTTAAAGTCATTGAAGCTAATGGGTGTTCAGGCTTGTCTCCTCAAACTTGTTTTCCTTAAACCAACCACGTTCCATTTCTCCACAGAAATGTTATGCTGCTGAAAGAGACCACTCCCATTATGAAACACTACTTCTTTTAAAGTGTGTATTCAATCTACAACTAAAGTCCCTTTTACAAAATAATTGAAGTCAAGGGACTAAGCATTTTCTGGGTTGAGTTTTGAAAGGACCAAGGAGCCAAGGAGGGCTGCTGGCTTATGAGCTGCAAAATGATATAGTGATAAAAGTTTAAACGAGCTTCACAGGTTCAGGTTGTGATGGAAGGGTCAGTGCCCTCACCCAATCAATGGACTGTGCTGTGTAACACCATATCTGTACTGTACCATTTTCCTATAGACCTACAACTGAAGACTGCCCAGGAACAGAGCTGTATGGGTCGGTTGTATGAGCCGCTTTTACAATGAAAATGGACAAAATAGCAAACTGAACCCCACCAACCCATGCCATACCCTTCACTGAAATAAAGCATTAGAAATAACACAGTATACCTCTTATTTATTGTAACCTTTGGTATGTGAAATGTCTGAAACACATAGTATGAGGAGCTCTCTATGTCGACCACAGAGTTCTGCTTCAGTCCTGTGGTTCTGAGGGTGGCTTTATTTCCGAAAGCTCACATCAGCTCTAGACGTGCCTGCTGGTTTAACTAGCCCCCCTTAATTGGTTCAACTGGTCCTTTTAAAACTTTAAGACTTTGCAGGTTGTGTGTGGGCTAAATTTATCTGCAGGTTGACACTTTCAGGCACAATCTTAATAAAGAAGCAGAATATCATGGGGGGGCTGGGGTTGTGTGCAGCTTATAGTCGCTGTGATCAGTGATTGTCAATTTATGCTAATATTAGTGGTCCTTCTGCTAGAAATAATTTCAACAAAAGTGCAGATTTTCTTTAAAGTGTTTACTATAGCACTCATTTTACCAAACTAATGACCATCCTGCCTTTACAGGACTTTACTACTGATGTGATCCCCTATTAATCAGAAGTCAGATTTTCAAAAGTCTGACTGGAACATTTGCAGAGCAACCAGTGTTCACTATCTAATATGGCCACATTCATGTAGAATGTAGTGAAAGTTGCTAGATCACAGGTGTCGAACCTTTATTTCCAGCTCCAACTTCGAAGAAAATGAAAACACAGCATAAGTTGATTTTACCATATAAATAACGGTAAAATTCTGTCAACCACAGCTGCCGGTATTTTACTGTAAATTAGACGCTTATTTTTTTACAGTGTACACTTCATATTCCTTATATTAAAATTTAGTTTAGACAAGAATTATCTTGGGGAAAATTAATTTCTAATTTCTAAAATAGATTGTGCTTTGAATTATACAAAGTATGATATATCTCGTAGGTCTCTATATAAAAAAGTAAAACAAGTTACTGAAAATAAATTGACAGTCTTCACCAGATCCTCCTAAAAGGGCAGCAAACATTAAATATTCCTTAGTTTTTATTGACTAAAGGGGCCAACAGGAACTAGCCCAATAAAACAACTTAATCTTTAAAATGAAAAGTGCCAGTTAGTTGGTTATATACCTGAATGAACTACATCAGAAGATATTTTGCACAGCAGACATTCTGACTGGTCTGAACATGTGAGCCTAACCATTAACATGGCTGTGTTCCATCCACAATACTTGATCCAGAGCAGATTTACTGACAGTGGTTTCATAACACCAGTTCTTTTTGTTTCCATCAGAGAGCTCCAACACTGACTCCAACAACTCCTGGGCCCAGTGGAAAGGAGAATTTTTTTTCAGCAGCCAACGGTGGGTTCATGGAAACCAACAAGCAAACAAAATTATGTTCCAAAGCACTGAGGTAATTCAGCATTTAATCTGGTTCATCTAACAGCAAAGCTCAGTGTCTCTTTTCTCTCTCTATGTTTTCACCTCTTCCTATATGTAATATAATGAGATCAAAGCATTGCATAGGGCTACTTTTTAGCAGTCAGTTGGGTTTTATCAATATTCCCAGATGATATTGATTTTAAAAGGGGGGGGGTTGAAACATCCTGCCTAAGTTCTGTTTGCATTGCTGCTTCCTTCAGAAATGTCTGTCTGGATTTTAAGTGCAACAACTTTTACAATTTGCATGGTCCAATTTGGAAATAAAATCTACTGGAAAGCTCCAAAGTCAGAATGCTGATATTTTTAAAGAATTACACAATCCAAAATTGACTGGAAGAGTTGCTTACAGTGATGTAAGGATGTGGCTCTAAGAAGCTCTCTGGCTACCAAGTAGGTTCTTTGCCATGTTTTTTTTTTATAGAACCGGGTAAGACCTGGCTCCAGCTCCAGCTCCAGCTCCAGCGCTGGGTTAGCACTGAAAGCAGTGCGGTGAAAAACCTTAGAAGTACTTCAATAACAAAACAGAGAGTAAGACAACACAGAACAGGTTGATCTAATTCACTAAATTAAAAAAGAGCTTAATGTTATGACAAAACCACATTCATTTTTACCTTCTGCCAAACGTCCTTCACCTCATTTTAAAAGCTAAGTGTTTTTTAGATTCCTTGTTTAAATTATAAAATGCTGGACTGTGGAAAATTAGAGAGCTCCAAATATTCTTCCTTTACTTCAGATGTAAAGAAAAGATTTCCTCACTCTACACTATATACTATATCATGAAAATGTCCAGCAACCGAATACATTTACAAAGGAAACACAATGTGAACAGTGGAATACATCATCCACTGCAGCATGAAGAGTATACACTCATTAGCCACATTATTAGATAGACCTGTTTGAACTGAAAGCTTGAAAAACAAGTCATGAATGAGCCAGTCTCATGGCAGTAACTCACTGCATTTAGACGCTATTATAATGACTTGCTGAAGATCAAAGAGGGCACCAGGATGGGGAAGAAAGGACAGTGACACGGCTGTTGGTGACAGACTGGTCTGAGTATTACAGAAACAACTCATCTACTGGGATTTTCCCATATAACCATCTCTTTTGTTCATAGAAAATTCTCAGGGAACAAAAAATAATATTCAGTGAGCAGCAATTGCATGGATGAAACTACCTTCCTGATAAGGAAGATAAGCAAGCAACAAAAGTTTAAATGCCCACTCAGTGGGTGAGGCATCTTCCCCAAGGACACAACGACTGAGATAGACGGAGCAGGGATTCGAACAGGCAACACACAGATTACAAGATGAACTCCTAGTACTAGCAAGGTATATGTAATACCTTGGCTGATGAGTATATATTTTTTTGAGGTTCAACAAATGTAAATTTGTGTCCTCATGATGCAAGACACTGAATGTATTCAGGTAGATGGAAAATAAAAAGCGACGTTTTTTTCTGTCTAATCCAGCGCTAGCCTCCTTTCCACTGCTGCTACTTCAATTATCACATAAAAAAGCTGACTAATGTAAATTCACCTTGATTAAACCAGAATCAAAATAATTGGATCAAAATAAAACATGTGTTCTTGTTTGCAATGTGTGGGCTGTTCAGTGCAGTAGCCATCAGTCTGCATTGCCACTCTACACACATCTTCCACATGACAAGAAGGACTTATTCAGTCTGAGCATTCCTGTGTGTGAGAAGCATCAGATGGCATGTTGAACAATGAAAACCCACACACACGGATGTGACCTAAAATGGTTGTAAAACTCAATAAGGAGAGGCTTTCAGGGTAAAATAACACAAAGTTGTAATTAAAGGTATCACTGTACCAGGTGGCATGGAGTCTCTTATACTAATTATTTGTAGTCTGAACATTAGAAGTGGAAGCAAATTACTAAAAAACCTTTCCTCTATCATGCATCATTTTCAACTTTTAAATGAATGAACCATGCCTAAATATGTCTTCAGCAGAAACGTATGGCTTCCTTTTTGTTTTCCAGGGCTGTTTTTACATGATATACTTCCAGTTGATCATGTTTGTGTGCCTAGCAGAAGATGTAGAAAAACTGCAGAATTCACATCTGAAAAGACAATATGTAGCTGCTTGTGCTACGTCTTTCTTTTGCCATCTCTCATGACAGTTTTATATTTAAAGTTGTGGTTTTTGAATCCACATTCATCCTTCTTTGACAGTTTTATGCTTCATGGCAAAAAATGTCTCAAATATCAATATTCATGGATTTAGCCTTGCCCAATGACACCCAAAGTTGGATCAGATCATCCAAAGACTACACTGCGTTTCATAAACTAACTGCAAGAAACCTAGTCAAGCCTCACACTTATAGATTTGTTTTGCCTCCTTTGAATCTTGTTGGCTCTTTCAGCAACAGCTGCACTGATAGTTTGGCTCATTAAAAACCACACTCTGGACCTCTCACAAGTTCAGTTCTCTTTCTGAAACTGACTAGTGGTGCAACTCTAAGCACCAATGGATTTTACGTGTAGGGTATGACATCTGGTCAGTGATTCTGCACTCAATAGACAGCTCTGCAGGTTTGCATCACTGCAAAAGTTGTCTCTAAACTGACCCAGAGCTTGCCAATGTGAAAACCTAACATCTGCTGTGCAGTTTTGGTATATTTTGATGGATGCTAAACTGCCAGTGCACATAGCAGCAATGAACTGTGTCTGCACAACTGAAGACTGCCCAGGAACTCTGCTTTTAATGATCTGGAGAACACAACATGCCTTGCAATTCTTCAGTGCACATGAGAAGGCAAAGACCAGATCATGTCTTCACTGATAACAGTACGTAAGAATATCGGAACATAACCTGATCTAAGGAGAAGCACAAGGTCAAACCCAGGATTCTGTTGTCCATGTACACTTGAACAGTAAACTGAAGGACTAAACTCTACATCAGAAAACAAAACAAGTCACAACACCAGGATAACCATTTCGCTGGCAGCATGCATCGGCACACCAATGTTTCTCTTGCCTAGTTGTTGTGACAATTATAAATATATTATTCCATTGGATCAACACCTACATCTCACTACACCATAGTTTTCCCTAGGTCAGTGAGGCTGCAAGCATTGACTGGTATTTATTGCACTTATTGGGACTACCTAAGGCCCCAACCATCAGGATATCCCAACAACCCAGCAAATTTCTCAGGCAACTCACCTCAACTTTTTATTTGACTCAAATATAGATATTCATCCTATGTTTATAATGACCTTTTTGATTTGTTGCAGTTTGCACTTCTCTGCACTTTTCTGCTTGCCACAAAAATATTAGGTAATGTTTAGGGTGCCAACATTAACAATGGTCAACTCTAAAGCTCATCTATTACCAGCAATACCATATCACTGTAACTTTTTTTGATTAATAACCAGCTGTACAGTGCATTCTTATATTTAAAAGGCAAATGTGGGTTAAAGTCCACAGAGCCCCAAATCATTCCCAGGCTGCTCCTGGTTAAAGTGCATCAGCAGCAGTAGATGAATCAGGTGTTGCTATAAGGCTATGAATGGATCACTTCTTGGCAGGGTAGATGTTTACCAGCCCTTGGTAAATCAGCCTACTTGTGGTGACAGAACATGGCATGTGGAAGGTTGGGCCATGTGTCTGGAGGGTCCAGAGGTCAGTCCTCCTGCTCTATGCTGTCCTGTCGGTCTTCTGTCCTCTTCTCCTTGTGGCATGAGAAGATCCTCCGCATTTCCTCCTCATACCTGATGAAGTTTTCTCCGAATCGAGCCCAGGCTTTCAATGGGACCGTGATGGTGTTCCTGTACGGCTGACGCACTTCACTTATTTTTAAGAAAACCCCGTAGCGGTTTGAGCCCACATCAAAGTAAAAGCGTTTGTTGTCCACTCTAAAGGACGCTGCCTCCGGAAGCTCGGGGTTATCGAGGCGAGTCCTGGAGCCCAGTCGGCCATGCTCGTCCGCCTCTTCGTCCCCGTAGTCCTCAATGAGCTGGGACAGGGCGTCTCTGAACTCGATGAGCCCCTGTGCGGGCAGAACGATGGTCTGCTCGATACCCTGGCCATAGTAGCCCATGGAGCCGTGGCCTTTGCTGACGGTCTGTCGTATGCGGAGGAACCTGCCTCTCTGATTCTCCTTGAGGTCCAGAAAGTACTTCCTGTTGTCTCTCTCAATGAACTCGCTCTTGAGAACTCGGTGGGCATGATCGTCGGAGCCTACCGAGCCGGTGGGAGATGCATGCTGCTCCCGCGCTTTTCTGCGAGCATCATGCCCGCGGCCCTGCCCGTTGCTGCCGTGTTCCTCTGCCAGCTGGGGAGTCTGGACCAGGTTCCCCCTCAGTCCGATTCGGGCGTAATAATCGATGAAATCTCCCAGGCAGTATCGCAGAGCCGGAGCCATTGACATGGACAGAGTCAGCTTGCTCTTCCTGATGTTATCATGACGCCCTCTCCCGATCCACACCTCGGCTATCTTCAGGAAGCGACCGCGTACACTCTGCTTCACGTCCAGATAGAAGCGTTTCTTCTGGATATCAACGCGTTTTGAGGCCAGTTCCTGAATGTCATTTCCCTGCTGCGCTGCTCCAGCCTGGATGTATTGCTGGGGATACGCGTGTCTGGACAGAGAATCGGACTGGATCTTACCCCTGCTTCTTTCCGTTCCCCTGCAGCACCCATCAGCCATCATCATCATCATTTATATTCCAGCAGCAGCCTGCACAGGAAAAAGCGATCTCTCCATTCCCAACACATAGGCTACAGCTGGCTGGAAGAGCACAGGTTCACCTGAAAATGGCTGCGTGCTTTACAGCCATCAACTCATCCAGTCAGTGTCCAGAATAAACACAATGTATCCGGTCTCCGATGCGGGCTGCTTCCATGTTTCATCAGCGATTTGTGCCGCAGCCTCTCGTTAACACAGGGAACCGGGAACAGCCGACCTGAGATACAGGAATGAACCCGATGAACCCGTTCACCCCCCGCCCCTCCCTGTCCTGAGAAGCCCTCCGTTAAAGAGACGCGACGTCAGCAATGACTGAAGGCTGCATTCACTGCAGCTCTTCTCCACTGCGCGGATTTATGGCAGCGTAATGCGGGATCCACCGACTCCTGCCCTCCATTCAGACGAACATTATGTCCCTGAAGGAGAACATGTGAAGCAGGATGCTGATTTTCCTCCTCTGCGTCAACAGACATTATTCTTCAGAAAAATCCCATCATCATCATCATCATCATCATCATCATCATCATCATCATCATCATCATCTCCATTGTTGCAAGTTTAACATTTCACAGTCCTCCCGATGGCAGAATTATTTCAATCATAAAGACATAAAAATAGCCATGGTAAACCAATTGACTGCAAATTGATTTACTAGCTTGTAAGAATGACTTGCCGTTTCTTCTCCAATGGGTTAACATGATCAGCACACTGCTTTACCCACCACAAATGGAGGTATGAAAAAAGCTGAAAATGTAACTTTTATAAAACAAAATGTTCATTTTTTTACATGTTAAAACTGTCACTATGGTGTGATCGATGAGACAGATAATTTGAAAAGAAAAAAAAATTCAAGCTCCTCTGCTTGCTCCCAGTGCTAACTATAGATATAGAAATGCATGACTTGATCAGAAACAGCCAATCAATCAGAGCCAAGAAGAGGGTCTGTCAATGAGGCTTGTGTATGAGCTGCTCACACCCTCCTCTTGCTCTCTGCTACGGTACAGCTTCTCCCCATCAGCATCTGCCAGGAATGAAGGTCAAACTGCTAACGGGAGAACTTTGGAATTTCCTTGTGTCTGAGATCTTTGTTCACCACAACAGTTCAGCATGCCATTCACATTACAACACACAAGGCTCCAACCCACCATTTCATCTTCTGTTGCTTCCTTCCATTACACAAGATAAATTGATACTTTATTAATCCCAAAGTAAATTGTGTGGCAGACCATCACTTTCTCTTATACAAACAATAAGCACCAAAGACCCAACAGATAAAAACACTGAGTATTAAGAAATAAATAGCTCAGTGTGGTGAGAGACAAACAAGTTCCCTAGTCTCAGTGGAGCGCCACATCGTAAGGAATTTGATTTTCACTAAACTTAACTGGTGAGTTCAGTGGGTGACTCTGATTGGACAAGATCACTCTGATCTTGGATATCGTCCGCTGCTGCACCACCTTCTCCACAGAGTGCAGGCCCAGCCCCACCTCAGAGCCTGCATTCTTAATTAGCTAATTCAGTATTCTTCTTAGTGGTGCCCCACTCCCCAACACACACCACGAGAACAGCACAATGGACCCAATGAACCGGTAGAACATATACAACTTAGCAGACCTCATAAAGATGCCACCCTTCTCAGACAGTACATCATGTTCTTGCCCTCCTTCTTGACCTGGAGGAAGCAGATGACAAAGCTACATTTCAAGTCACTGTGGATGATTCTCATTAATCCTCTTCAACTTTATTTTTTGTTGTTGTTGTTGAACAGTAACAGTAAAGTAAGTCTCTAACTGCTGACCCATTGTTACCAATATACATATTTATATGACAGAAACCTAAATATTAGTCTAAATCCAAACTGTTCATTATGTTATCAGTTAGAAATTATACAGTTTTCATTGAAGGAAAAATCTTACATTCTACTTCAAATAGTTTACAAGTCACTCCTGTTTCTCCCACTTTAAAAATAAAATAAATAAAATTTAAAAAAAACAGCTGAAAAAATACCAAGAAAGGTGACTCCTCATTTTTGTCTGCAAAAATGAGGAGTCGCCTTTCTTGGTATTTTTTCAGCTGTTTTTTTTTTTTTTGAGTCATTTTTGTCTGCAAAAAATGACTCAGGCCAATTTGACACAAAACTCCTGAATTAAGGAAAAAGGTTAAATGTCTGTCAAGAAGTCGCTTGAGCTGCAATAACCCACAGACCACATGTAGCTCAGATTTTTAAGGCATCTCAAGGAAACTTTATTGATACACAGTACAGGTTAACTTCAACAAGGATTACTTGGTTACATTCAAGTGCAGCATATATACTAAAGCTAAAAAAAGACATAATGTAATAAATGATAATGCCTAACAATGCACATCCCATTTCTGCAGAGCTGAATGCACAGAACAAGAGGAAGAACAAACCCAAACTGAGCTTTCCATCCCGTAGAGCCAAACTCTTCACCAGGTTCAGCTAAATGTAACCTCAACACGTCAATGTGTACAGCATGTCTTAATCTAGAATTGAAATGAGAAAAATGAAAGAACTAGATTGACACTAAACTGAATTGGATATTAACTGGACCAGTTCATTGAGAGAACATGTTGTGAATTGTTGTTATATAAAGAAACTGAACTGAAATGAACACAGGATGAACTACGTAGAGCCAGAATTGAGGTAATAAGGCGAGGAAAAGAAATAATAGTAATGGGTATAAAGCAGAAGTGGAGACATATGTCCACTCAGCACTTTTCTGTTAGCAACAAGCTGTTGGGCCATTGTGAGCACTTCACACTATTTATTAAAGCACTCCAAAAAGCAGTAGTTCTGTTTCTATTACAATATCAGAGTAACACATCTCCACTCTAACTGGGGTTGCGTGATAAACAACCACCATCTTCTTTATGTAACATATTTGTCAGTTTCATATCACCTAATACCATTTTTGTTTCCAGAAGGCCCGGACACTCTGCCCTGTGGAGCCTCCATTTGAGTTCTGGTGCTACAGACAGGCTGCAGACCATTTTCACATCAGTCTGCTCTCAGGAACAGGTTTCTGTTCCTCTGGAGATCAGCCTGCAGTTCAGAACAAGCTGACTGTAAAGATAGTTTCTCTTCCATCTTCCTGTGGTCCTGCAGTCTACTGTAGAAAATGACTAATTATCTGGAAACATGCTGATGACAGTGTGTTTTGTCTAATAAGGTCTCACACCCTCTGCAAGAAATGTTGAGAGTACTTCCTAAGGAGGCAGACCTGACAGTGAGCCTCCATCCTTCCACAGGTCACATGTTTAAAATGTCGGACAGCCTTGTGGTCAAACTAAACACAGTTAAATCAGTTTTCAGATTGATTAGTTAATTGCTACGCTGCCAGGCAACTTTAACTCTTGGCAAAAAATATTTGACAAAATCTTGCTCCATTAACGTTCTGAGAAGACGGATTCAGTCTGAATGTCTTGGCAGTTAGAACTCAAAGCTTGCAGGTCCATCAGTCTGACATCAGTCTGGTGAGGAACAGAGAGGTATACTCTGACTGCCAAGCATTACTGCTACAGGCCGTCATTCACGTGATACTTTACAAAGAATTAAACAGCCGCTGCACATGTAAACATGCGTTGAAGTGGAAATGAGTGAGACAATTTTAAAATCACTGTGTCAAAGGCATAAAATAAAATAAAATGATATGGTGCGACATGTTCTTACTGCGGTCTGTAACCTCCCAACTGTGGCATGTAGCTGGACACTGCTCCTGACTCTGTGTCAGCAGACAGGCTGTCTGGCTCGGTGGTCAGCTCAGTGTCCTCTCTGAGGGGACAGAAGTCATGCTGCTCCACCCCCAGCAGCCTGAAGTCATCAGACTCCATGCTGTTCTGGTTCTCTGCACCAGTAAACAGTGACGGTCTGGGAGGAGGCTGGACCTGTCTGCATCCCTCCTGCAGCGACACGTCTGGGTGCTCCTCTGAGTCCAGCAGTGGCTGCGTGGACTCGGACCGCGAAAAGATGGAATGCTGCGAATGGGAGCTGGGTGTCTGGCCCTTGTAACCGCTGGATGCCACAACAGAGGAGTACTGAACGGTGCTGGCCGTGGAGTCAGCGAGGTCAGGGCCCTCATCGCTGTCGGAAACGCTCTGGCGCGGCGAGGACATGCAGGAGGAGCCGCCGATCCCGCTGCTGTGCTCCTCAGATAGGTATTTGCCCTTCTTCAGAGACAGACTGGTCTTGTCCTCTTCAAAGCCAAGCTTTACCTCACACACCCCAACATCAAGCACAGACACACCAGACACACAGTTCTCCTTTGGAGTCTCTTCCTGCAGAGGAACAAAAGATCACTATCACATCTCAGACCAAAAGAATCTCACCCAATACAAAATTCAAGGCTTTGTCAGGCCTATATTAGACGTAAATACAAAAGTTCACTTTGAATTTAAAACCTAATCCTGACACCAAGAGTCAGAGCTTTAATATGGAACCCACAGAAAAACAGAGAGACAGGGGGTTGGTACTGCAGGTTTACCTTCGGAGGATAATCAGGAGACCAGTTTCCAATGGTGCTCTCTCCAGGGTTGGGAATCTGAGGCCAGAAGTTCTCCTTTAATCTGAAAGGAAAGAGAACTCTGACATTACACAGATATCAGTCAGGAAACCAACCACAACACACATCACATATCTAACACAAGACCTTAATGGAGTCTGATCTGGCCTGCCTGACTACAGAACAGAAACTGGAGCAGCCCCATCTCCACTTAGCTTTTTTAGAGCAACTTTACAGCATGAATGCTCTTCATAAACTATGTGTTGAGATGCTGACACACTATGAAGAGTTACATCTTGTAGAGAAAGGAAGGAGACAGACAGGACAGTTCCACCTACACATCCTTCTTCAGGAAGCACAGCAGGAGAGCCATGAGAACGAAGAACAGGAAGCCCAGGCTGACTCCTACCACGATGCCCTCAATCGTTCCTGGAGCTGGCGGGAAGACAGCACAACAGAGCAACACTTCACATCCCCATCAAGTTTTCCTTTATTTCCACTCAGTTTTTAGCTAATGAATAAAGGTTTATTAATGCTGACAAGCTATTAATACCAGATTGTTTTTTTCTTTTGTTGTTCTGCACCAATGTGCAAGCCCAGATTCTAGATGAACGACCTGACCACAGGATTCTGCTTCCAGTGGCCTTCCAAAAAGCAAAACTCTGGCTTGTGAACCAGTCCTAACCACAGCTGGTACACTGGAAATGGGTTGGACATGTCTGTCCAGATGGACTGGTGACCTGTCCATCTCTCAGAAAGTCAACACTATTTTTTATTTTCCATCATCAATCATTTCTTTCCCTTCCTTCAGTGCAACTTAAAAGCAGACTTATGCACAGACACACTCATCTTTTCCCAAGTGCTTTGCAGTTTATCTAGTTGCCTTCAACGTCTTTCTGCCTTCGCTCACAGTTTGCTGCCGTTATTTTATTAGGGCTTTGAATAAATATGTCCTGTTTGTTTAGCTGATGTGAAGCAGCTGCATGCAGACAGACTCACCGTATCTCAATGTGGTGAATGAGTGAGGGTTGCTGCTTTTTGAGCCTGCCACGGTTGAAGCACTGATCCAGACTTCATACTTGGTGTTGCCCAGCAGCTCAGTCAGAGTGTAAGAGGTGTTGTTAGCTGCAACACGGATCGATTCTGAACAGAACCAAACAAGTTAGGCTGACTGCTGTGAAGACAGTGAAAGCTTTGGAGTAAAGAACCAGTTCTGACAGGTAGGAACGTACTCGGGGCCTCGTTCTCCTTTCTGTAGGATA